CCCCAAAACCCCAAAACCCCAAAACCCCAAAACCCCAAAACCCCATTTCAGTAAGATAAGTAAGGGAACGATAAATCAAATAATTGTTTAACAGTTAAAATTCAAACAATAATATATTCATATTCAAAATGGCACAAAGTAAGTACCGTCCATTCCACTAACACATATAGGGGGTTAATCATAAGAAAATAATCGCTAAAACCGTGGTTATGATGATTGGCAAAGTAGACTGAACTCTGAGGCTAATTCCTTGTAATTAAGGCTCCATCAAATTGAGGAGTCCAAGCAGGCATTATAGAATAACCGTTAGTTCAGAGAGTCATAAGAGAATTTTGAACAATAAATCTAGGTGCTTGAAGGTGATAAGGTATCTCTAATGAAGAGATTGAACATGGTACTAAGTGAATTGGAGAAGGCTACTCATGAAAAAACCGAAATCAATCATAAGTTACTAGAATAGGAAAGAATTGCGAATGATCTCAAGAGGAAACTAGATGAAGTATCATCTCTTAAAAATGTCGTGAATCGTAATCTATAAGAAGATTTGAGATACGAGAGAGACCTCAACGAGAAACTGAAAGAGGAGTTATTGAGATTTGAGAAGGACAAAGAACAATTGCTAGCTAAGTTAAAAGACTAAGAGATACTCTCAGGAGATATTCAAAGAGAGACTAATGCCATTAATGCTAATTTAGTAAGAAAGAGCGATGAACTCAGAAGGTTAGAAAGAGAGCATGAGACTAATCTTAATAGATTAAGAGAGTTAAATAGTTTGATGGATACACTCAGACAGCAAGAAATGCATTCAAATAATGAGAAGAGAAGGATGGAGGATGAGTTAGAGGACCTTACTAGAGAGAGAAACGATTTGATCCGCAGAATGAACGAGCTTAGCGATAAATATGACGAGTATGTTTCTACAATGAACAGAGAGAGATTGGAGATTATGAAAGCTAATAAAAATCATGTTAAGTTGTTGACTTCAAAACTATTCTTCTAGATTTTGAATGAAGCTCTCTACAAAAGACGCAAGCTTGCTCTATAAAACATTAAAAATATCTCCAAATAACAACTGAACTTTAACACTAAGCTGTAAAGATTCGCAAGAGTAGTCTACAATTTTGGCAAAGAAAGAAAAAGAACTTATCTAAGAAATTGGTACAGAAGAGCCATGAATGTTGTTCATGAAAATTATAAGAAGATGAATCTAATTCAATTTAATGTGAACAAGAAGAGAAAGATCGTGTTTTACTATAACTGGAGATAGGCATTCCTCCATTAAAAGAGATGCTCTGACTCTAAGATTGAATCACTTAAAATTTTTAGGAAAGTCCTATAATCAAAACAAGATTTGCAGCTCAGAACTTATCTTTGCAAATGGCGTGATTTTATTGAGCTTAGGCAATATCAGCAAGATTTTATGTTCTCAGTCATGCATAGAAAAAGATAGAGAAATGTGAGATAAGGCTTTGTGAGATGGCTGGCTATCACTAAAAAAGCCTAGTTAGAAGAGAGATACGACAAAATGAGCAATCTAGTGACATCTCTATGGTTCAAACAGAGAGTATTCCTTGGATTAAGGTAGGCTTGCATGGAGTAGAAAACTGATAGCTCTATTCTTAAATTCAAAGCTTGGAAAAACTGGTGTGTCAAAGCTAGATAAAACAAATATTTCTAAAGAAAGAAGCTTTTAGTATCTAGACTTCATGGTCTCAGAACTGAGAGACTTCTCAAGTAATGCTTCGATGCGATTAAGTTTGGCAATATTCAAGATAAATATGAAAAGACTAGGGAAAGGCTTGAAAGAGAAATACCAGTAAGAGAGGAACTAGAAAGAAAAAGAGATACTCTTATAAAGGTCAATAGATCCAGGGACAAGTACAATCTTTTTAGATAGTGTGTAATAAGATACTCCGATCTTAAGTATAGAGCTTTGATGATATGGAAGGAAAACATTGTCTATCATAATCAGCAGATGCAAAGAATAAAGCTTCGCCTTATAGAGTTGCATAAGAGAACTCTAAGTGGAGCGTTTTACAAATGGAAGGAGGGTGCTGACAAGAAACATATGGTAGAACTAGTCAGTTTCACTGAGGATTTAATGAATGAAAATCAAGAAATCTAAAACACTCTTAAAGCATGTTAGTAATAGAAACAGCAGTTAATGGACTGCACCTCAAGATAATAAGGTCTCAAGCTTGAAAGAATAAGAAATATGCTCAATCGTAATCATCTCAGACATTTCTTTGGAAGATGGGCAAATACCTCATATTATTTCTCAAGTATTGAGGATGCAGTGTTTAAATCAACCAAGACGCTTGCGAAGAGAAAATTAAGAAATGGATTCAACAGGTATAAGGAGAAGGTTAAGGAATTGAGAAGATTAGAGTATATTGCTAAAAAGGTTGACTGGTTTGAAGGCATAAGATCAAATAAATCTCTACAAGAATGTATGAATGACTGGAAAGTTTTTGTCAAAAGACAAATATCAGCTAAGAAATTCCTAGTCAGATCAATTAAAGGAATCGACAATCTTATTGTTAATAATGCATTCGGAACTTGGAAAAAGTGCATGTATGATTAAAGGAAAGAAGTTTTCTTTACCAATATTGAGGAATTAGAGAGAAGATAAGAAGAGCATGAATAGTAGATTAAGGAAATAGATCACTAAATTTAAGTAAATGATTGCACTTAGAAGCATTTAGAGTCTAAGCTGTAATCACAAAGCCACAAGATAATGGCAAACTTTATTTCAAGATTCATTTATTCTTCTTAAGCTAAAGGATTCTATACTTGGCTTGATGTTTTGAAGGATTAAAACAACAAAAGAAGATTCCTGAGATCAACACTTAACTATTGGATAAAGAATTCACAAGGAAAAGCTTTCAGAACTTGGGCTTAAAACACCCTTAAGATGAAAGAGGCAGAACTTGCAGCTAAATTACTTGCTAGAGAAAATGAGAGAAAGGCTTTATAAAAGCAGAAAGATGAATAATAGAACAATTAATCTTCAGAGATCGAAGATCTTTAAAACTAATTGAATGAAGCTATTTCTTTAAAAGATCAACTACAAGCAAATTATGAAAAAGCACTCTAAACTCACATCAATAGAACCAATAACAATACCTACATTGATAAGAAGAGGAACATCTTTTGTGTCTGGGCAGACTATGTTAAAAAGGAAAAAAATGCAGTTAATGTAATAGGAGCAATAACAAGAAAGCTACTGAGGATGGAAGTCTTCAGTAGAATTAGATTAGTTGCAAGAGAAAGACACCTTGATCTGAATGCTGAGAAAGTAATGGCAAACTTCTTTAGAATCTTCAAGTCGTGTCTAGTTAGAAAAGCCTATTCAAAGTGGAGACTAGTAGCTTATAATGAAGTAGTAAGCGACTTAAATGCAAAGAAAGACGAATTTCAGCAAACAAAACTAGCTTAAGAGTAGGAATATGAAAACATGTAATTACATAAGCAATAGAAAGCTGAAAAGATCTTAAAGCAAAGAAGATAAAGAGAAATTTCAAGTGCCTGGATAGAAATGTCAAAAGTACTCAAAGCACTAAGGTTAAAGGACGAAATAATGAGATAGAATATCAGATTTATGCAAATTCGAAATGCTACTTAGAAATGGCATAAGAGAACTGAGAAAACTCTTTATTTAAGAAGGAGAGATGAATAGGTAGTAAAGAAATATCAATCTAAGATGCTAAAGTAAATAGTTATTGAATGGTAAAACAGAGTTAAGATTTCAAAGTTACTCTGCAACAAAACTGCTAAATTTATCAAGAGACTATAGTATGTAGACTTAGCCCATGGATTTTCTCAAATTGTGCATTTTAAGAAATCATTTGACGAAAGAATAAGAGAAAGAAAAGAGTATGGCCAGTAAAGTATTGGCTCTATTCTTTCTAAATTAGTGAATACGAGGCTAAATGATGCATTTTTGACTCTTAAGATCAGAGGGTATAAGAAACAATATAAGGAGTAATTTCTTACAAGAATGCTAAAGCATGTCCTTTCATATCGTATTAGACACTTCTTCGGAAAATGGAAGCATAATTCTGATAGACTCAGGTTGGCTGAAACAATTAATGTAAGCTCCACTTAATTAATATTATAATTTTTATATTATAGACTGAGGGTGATGTTGTTCTTGAAAGAAATGAAATGAAAAGAAACGTTAAAGCTTTGAAAGACTTCCTAATGAAGCAAGGCTATTCAGAAGATGAGATCGAAAAATACTTAGAGGATAAAACCAACACTCAAAAAGGCAATATGCATCGAGCTTTAGTTAGCTTGTTCTTTAAGAAATCTGAATTCAACATCATGCCTAAAGCCATAAATTAGTGGAAAAGATGGATTCAGCAGAGAAAATTGATGAGGGACTGGTCTTAGTTCACAGTTAATGCAATAAATCATCCACTTCACTGGTACTTCAGAAAATGGAAGCTTTAGGAGCACCATGCTCTTTAAAAACTAAAGGATGTGACTAAGAAGGAGCTCATTGATAAAATAATTCAAGATGAGCATGCTATTGGTGCTGCCTAATCCAGACTAGAAAGAATGGATGATAACATCGAAAATTTGAAGATTCAAAGGGAAAATTTATTAGGGCATTTTAAGTCAGGGCAGAAACTTGCCTTAGCTCTTGGTAAAAATAATCATTAAAGATCCCTCTTCAGGGCCTTCTTAAGATGGAAGAAATATACCAAGGACTATGAACAAATGCTTCTGGCTGAGCAACTAGATAGAACTAATTTAATGATAATAGACTTGATGAATCATGTAGGTAGACTTGAAAATACTAACAAGACTTTGTCAGTAGAAAATGAAGAACTTCGATAGGCTGCTTTAGATGGCATTGAAATAGCAAAAGCTGTTCAAGAATTAACTATGAAGAGAGAACAACTCAGCTTCGAATTACAGGACAAAGCAACTACAATTAAGAAGTTAATGGAAGATAATAATAATCTAAGTATGAGGCTAAGCATCGCATAAAGAGAAGCTGAATAACTTGAACAACTAAATCAGCAAACATCTTTTATGCCCCCTCCTGAAAGAGACAGATATTGAATCATATTAACTATTAATACTTTATCGATTATATAACTATAAGATTCAGAAAATTAGTTTCCAATTAGTTGTCAATACTTTAATTAATCCTTAAGGGGTTTTGGGGTTTTGGGGTTTTGGGG